CCAAAAGGTGAAAATAATCAAAAGAACAAACGTGAGTTCTAATTTTTTGAATTTAGATATTTTTAAATCATTCACGAAAGAACAGCTTGCTGCTATTGAACTTCTGCGACAGACTAACTTTCTGAATCAAGTTTTGTTACCACAAAAAGAAAAGGGTGATAATGAAACCGGTTCCACGTGCAATAAAGAAGATGACAAAAGTGTTGAGAAAAGCAAAGAAGGTGACGAAAGTGATCCTGATGAAAAAATTTATGATGATTCAACTGAATAAGGGGGCCGCGAACATAATTTCCCCTTACTTAGATAACATTTTTTCTTTTCTTTCATTTCCATTATCAGAATATTTTTCCTTAGGGATAAGCAATAGCTATAATCGATTTTTTTACTCAAGAGAATTTATTTTTCAAATCCTATTGGCTGGTTTAATGCAATCAGCAGACTTAATCATGTTTTTGTTAAGTTGACTTTACAATAGATAGTCAACATTGACGCCCAAAATTCAAATCTTGTTAAAAATTGTAAGACACACAATCAAATTTGTCTTTGTAAGCAACAGTTCAACTTTTCAATTTATTTTTGTTATAAAAATTTGGTCAAAGTTAAACCAATAAATCTCTTTTTTTCATGAAATTATGAATCGTGTTTTGAAAAATGTGAAAACTAAAAAGGTATTGAGTTCAACGGCAAAATTTAATAAGCCATTTAAGCAACCTTATTTTAATAATTCTGTTATCAAAATGTTTGGTAAAGATGTTAATCAACAGAAAAAGTCATCAAGTTCTGAACCTAATAACAACGAATCAATATCTCGCGATGAAAGTCCGAGAAAAAAGTCTAAAATTAGCAGACAAAAAGAAAAAGAAATTCCGTGTGACAAAGAAACTGTGGAATATTTTTTGGTTGTGATTGTGCCATTAGTATTGGATATTCACGAAAAAGATATTAATCAACCGGTGATGATCAAAATTAGTAATCAACTGTTCTTGGATCTTGATTTAAATATAAATCAAAATTTCGATCTAGAAGATGAAATGAATTTATTCTTCTTTCGGTTGAAAAATAAACGAATTTCATTCAGAATAATTGCTTCTGGAGGTGAGTTTTGACTCTGCTATTTTGTAACAAATATTCATTAATGTTCTATTTAACTGATGTTGATGTCTTTTATTTCAGCCTCAAGTGAAGTGTTGAAAAGAAATTTATCCGAAAGCATCAAACAAAATCAAGCCTTGGCGAATTTGAAGAAAATTATAAATTTCAGTGAGAATTTCATCAAAATAGAACAAGATCCATCAGCCATCATGGGAGAGAAATTACCATATATTTGTATGAGTCAAGAAGAATTTTCAAGTCTTTTCAAGAAAGAGAAAAAGTCAAAGTGGGAATCACTCAGCAATTCGGATGAAACTTTGGATACAAGAAGTAATGATCACTGTGTTGATGATGATGATGATGATGAAGCTTCCTTACCAAGTGTAGGTGAAAATTCTGAAATCAAAGCCCGTTCACAAAAAACAAAGTCAACGAAAGAAATCGATACACAACGAGAGGAATCTAAGAGAATCAGTTATGACTGCAAATTAGAAAAAATTCAAAACGTAAATGCTAAATTGACTGAAATGAAACGCCAGAAAATGCTATTGTCAGAAGTTGATCTTTCGGGTATCATAATCAAATCTCTTATTGACATTGTTTCTGATATTTTTGAATTGATGGAATTGACGGATGAAGAGAAAGAGATTGGCTGTAATAAAGTTCCAGAAAAGGATCAGACGTATAAAGAAATCGATAAAGTGAGTAAATTCACCATTGTGAATCGCAGATTCAATGAAATTAATAATAATATCTTTTTCTATTCTTTAGAATCGAATCTTCATTGAAGGAATGATTGAGTTGAATTTAGACGCATATGAAAAAGCTATTAACCAAGCAAAGCCGAATAACGCATGTTCTATTGCTTATCAACTTGTAAGATTTGCGTTTCCAGAATCCTATGTCAATCGAGTAACCCTTGGAAAAAAGAATTATACTCATGCAGAACTTGCATCTTACGATGGATATTTAGATCGAGGAGGGAACGAAGAAAAGATTCCTTTAGCTTATGTGTTTTCATTTCCAGATCCTTTTAATGAACCTAACATCGGTGAATTTGATCCGATTCTCGGAAAAAAGCGTTTGTCATGTTTTTTCGGTTAGTTTAGCTAACACATTTCATGAATTTTGTTTTCTGATAAATTAATATTTTATTTCCATCCTTTTCTTTTCCTTATACAGATCATGTTTTCAGAAGAGCAGGTTATGAAAAATACAATGAAGAGCAAGCAAATAAAGTCAGATCACGAGTAATCAAGGAACTATGTTCAAGAAACAAAGACAAAGAATCTGGTCAAAATAATAGCAAAGATCAAAAGCAAAGTGATAATTCTGATAATTCAGACAAAATTGATTCAAATATTCTAGAAAGTGATATTTTTTCAAAAGATTAAAATGAATAAATTCGTTAACTGAAATTTGCCACAATACATGTTTTTTCATAATTAAGTAGATTTTCATAACGTGATTCCATAATATCATTCCATCTCGGGAATTTGATTCTCACTGTTTACTCGAAGAGAATCCGTGATTATATTTCAAATCGTCGAAATAATTGCTGTTGAAACTATTTTCAATCAATTTGAAAATAATCTACGCATTCAACATCAGTATTTTTTTTCATTAATATTGAATTTCCGAATATTGATGAACAATTTAATTTTGAAAGCGAAGTGTTCCGATTTCGGGACTTTAACCGGGTGAAGCCTTAAGGTGTGTGTTTCACCCAAACCTTAAATTGATTGACCAAGGCTTGGAACTGGTTCAAATGAAGCAAAAGACCAAACGAGCCAACTTTTTGACTCAAAATTGACTCCACACTGTTGACTGGGTTGAAGTGTACTAATGATAATAACATAGTAATTAATGAGTATTAAAGGATCCAGAAAGTAGCCTTGTAAGTGACCTGGTAATGGGCTGAATGGAAAATGTATTTATATAATAATATTTAACAGCTAAAATTAAAGATGAACAGTTGATTAGGCGAAACAGATAGAAACAGATTTTTTCATTGTAACGCTAGCAAAAAGTAAACATTATTATTGAGAAAGTAATTTAACTTTTACTCTGGGAATTGTTTACTTCAATGATAACAAGTGACCTGTGACCTGACCAAAGTCTGTATCAGTGAGAAAGTGAACACTAAAACGCGAACTCACCTTTATTACTTTCTCTAACCTTCTTTGGCTGACTTTTACCTTCAGCTTGTCAACAGCAGGTAAAAGTCAGAGTCTAAGAGGTAACAACATTCTTGCATCCTAATCAACTAACAATCTAATCAACTAAATTGATCATAATTCAGGGTTGATCCATGGTTAATCAACGGAAGCTACCAAATGATTTACGCCTGATTTGCATCTTTAAATTGATAGCCAACAGTCAACAGAGACACAAAATATTTGCTTTAATTTGCATATAAAATTGAGTCCATAATTTTACCACAAAAATGGCAAAAATTAACCAAATTCATGCGTAACAATGAAAGTCAATATACTTGAATAGATTGGCGAGAAACGTTAATTTTAAATTGATTGTCATTCCCACTTGAGAATCACTTGACAATGGCTTTAAAGTTATCAACTGAATGCAAGTTGAAACAGTTTGATTGATTAAAATAATTCAATGAAAGCAAACTGTTGATTTAGACTGCAATATCTCAATCTTAATCATCTAAATCTTGAAACTCTTGAGTTAATATTTAACTTCTCATGGTCAAGCAGCATGAGAACCAATGTTAACATGAAAATTGTTTTACCTTACTCAACCTAATAAGATAAATAGTGATGAAAGCGCAAAAGAAAAAGAGGAAAACTGGAAATTAATTTTATCGAAACAATTTGATAAACAATTTAACTTTTTAATATCCAATCTTTAAGGCTGAAAAAAGTTGACCGTTTGAAGGCTTATAATCAAGATTAAACTTTGTCATCAACCCTGAAGCATTGAATACAATAATCGCTATTAACTTTCCGTCATCCAACTTGATCCAACTTCATCCCAGCCTCATAATAATCATCATCATCACCATGAGAGCTAAACTCGTAAAAGCGAGACTAATGATTATACAGATTGTATCCTGTTGTTGTAATTTGTATTTTTCCCATAGGAAAGGAAATGTTGAGAGACAATGAAATCACAGAATCAACATTATCATCATAACTACTTGTATTACCTTAATTAGCAAACGGATTTACCGAGTGATCAATGAAACAATTAGTTGATTGAAAAATGAAAGTTTCCATATTTTTCCAAAATCCATTTATTGTTTCCTTGTTGCCATTATTCAGGATTGATGCAAATTCATAACTCTTCAAGATGATTTATCTTCACAGGCAACAGCTTTTTTTAATTGTTAATTGTTACTGTTCATGAAAAACAAATAAATATCAATGGTTGGTCTGATTCATGGGCAGTCTTGATGTTGGTTTTGAGTTAAGATGAAAGGTTTTTGGCCTTCTTAATGTTTTGTTGGATTGGCTTTGGGTTGTTTAATAATCATTGGTAAGGTCAATTGAAATGCTGTGTAAACCCCAAAATTTAACCTTTTATTGGTTCTATTGACCTCAACTATTTTACATTTACAAGTTATTTACTTGAACCACCTTTACTCTTTTACCTTTTCATGTGTGTTATTTATTTTCAACGGTCATTCCTTCTTACTGCCTTCACCTTTCATCATTTTACCTTTGGCTTACCTTTTGTTGTCCACTTTATTTTTTCAACCTTTACATTTAAGGTTATTGTTATTCATTGAGAGGTTATATTTGTTGGAATTTATTGTTGCTTCTTAAAAATAAACTGGCCATTTTATATCTTTACAAATACGATTTCAATTGAAAGGAAAAATTTATGTAAGTTTTAGCTTAAAGAATGAGCTTTTCAATGGAATCAAAATGTCTTCAGGTAAATTCATTATAAATATAAGCATTTTATTTGCCTCAAAATTTATGAAATGGGAAAACATTCGAGATGAAATTTTTCTTACATACAAAAGATCACGAAGGATCTTGAAATTTACAGATATAATCAGCTTATATATACAGATTTGATGAGCTAATTTTGTTTACATTTACAGAGTTTTTAATAAATATACAAAAGGTTAAATTAAATGAAAACAGCAGCAGTTTGGTTGACGGATGGATCCTGATTAACGGATGTTATTGTTGTTGTGTTTATTGGATTAATAGTTGTCATTACTTGGTCATTTACTGTCGTCAGAACCAATTGATGTTGTTGTTGCTGTTGCTGTTGTTGTTGTTGATGGTTATGATGTTGCTGTTGTTGTTGAATATATTGAAATGTATGTTGATGTTGGTTAACATTATTAACATTTGATGCTGGTAAAGTTGTGTAAATAGATGTTTCATGCCAATCACTTATTCCTTGAGGTGATGATGCTTGTGTTGACCATGTTTCAGGTGAGTCTGGACTTGGAGTCATGTAATAAGACATTGAATTATTTGAATACATGTTTTGCTATAAAGAGAAATAAAAATAAAATAAAATAAAATTTAGATTAGTTTAGATTATTTGATATCTTTTTAATCCATCTTGAGGAAGATTATTTCAGATCAATTTTCTCAGTGAATTTCTTTTGAACCGGATAACTGAAGCTCACAGGAAATAACGAAAGCATTACTCTATCATCATCTAAATCATCGCCATCGCCGTCATCCTCTTCTTCTTAACTTCATGTTCTGAGAAAATTTTAAATATTCAATGTTAAATAATCGTCAGTAAAAAATAGTAACTCAGTTATTAGCTTAGCATTAGCCTGATGACTTTTTTCTGGTGACCTTTTTTTCTCAAGCTCATCTTCATCTTCATCTTTATCTTCATTTTACATGTTTCTTTTTCTCTTTCATTTCAAATTTAATTCTCTCCCACGCTTAACGCTTAAAATTTATCTCATTTTTTTAGTTGTGTCTTCGTAAGTTAAATAAGGTTTGTTAAAATAGTCTTATATCTATGAGACACTCATGTCGTTCTCACTGTTTATTATTGTCTTTTCTTCTTCTCTTTTCTTCTTATTCTCTTCATATTTCAATTCTTTTTTCTTTTCTTTTCTTTTCTTATCTTTCTTTCTTCATATCTTCTTAATAAATCTGATCATTAATTGATTGTTATGTAATTGAATACTCATTGTAAATGGCGTTGGAATAGCATTGATCATTAAATATCATTTAAGCCTCGCCTGAATAGTCTAGTCTTATATCTTATTTTTTTCATCCTGTTTCTTAATAATTTTAAGTTTTCAATGTTAATTGGAAATAAAAATCTAGACAATTAATCAATAATTAACTTTCTTAAAATACTCAACTATAGACATAAATAAACGCCTATCAGACAGATATATTAATAATAGAAATCAACTCAAAACGAGTGAATAATATTTTGAAAAGGATTTTGAACGAGACTTCAATCAAAACGAAAATCTTTTGTTCATTTTGTTGACCCTTTTTCTGATTCTATTTGATTTCATTTTTACGAACATTGTCTGGCTCTTATGTGTCTCTGTAAAATGTATTTTTTTGTAACCAAAGAAAAAAAGGTCGAAATTCCAACAACCTTTTCATTCGCATTTACATTTTCAATAACATTAACCTCTAGGCAACGATTCTCTCTGTATTTATGATGATTACTTTACCCGCGTCCTTCCCTTTCTTTGTTATCTTTCCCTCTTCTCATTTCTTCTTTTTCTCCTTCTTCTTACATCTGAAGACGTTTGTCCAGACTTAAGTCAGGTCAAAACCTGAAGTTACTTTCTTATTGCCTTCTCTTCCAGCTTTCTTACTTTGTGATAAAGAGACAAACAACTGTAACTTGATCGCGAGGAGAGTAGAGAAAGATAAAGTAGACCCAACAACCGACCGAAGGCCAAAGTGAAAATAGGGGAACAAAGAGAAAGAGAAAAAGAGAGAGAAGGGGAGAGACCAGAGAAGAAGAAGAAGAAAAAAAAGTTAGGTTCAATCGGTGGGTTTACCATTGCCATATGCTCTTCGTTAGAGAAACGTAATGAGAGGGAGAGAGAGTAAGTGAGATTTAAAGTGAGTTGAAGGGCCAGCAAGTTATAATTTGATGATGAAAGAAGAGAGGACGATAAGCGAGAAAAGATTGAATACATAGAGTAAGAGAAGAGGAAGAAAGAGGAAGAAAGAAAAGAAAGGAAGAAAAGAGGACAAGTTAAAAAGTATAAGAATATTTTGTTTGAAAAAATGGCGAAGTCAAAGAAAGTGGATTTCATTTTGGCCTTGATCACAGTCACATAATATAATAATAGCTATCAATATAACTAAGTCAATATGTTCTAGTGAAAGTTTAAAAATTATATTAACAATTTAATAATAAACTCTGAGAAATACTGAGAAAATGTTTGATTGAAATAATTGAAGATGATGAAAGTATTCACAAGATTGTATAACGTACCACATTATTGGATGCAGGTACAGCATAAATTGGTTGCTGTTGCTGTTGTTGTTTTAACATATGAGAATTAGATTGATTCTGATTCTGATGATGTTGATGTTGTTGTTGAATAAGTTGAGTTATTTGTGTTGTAGATGGTGATTTTGGTGTTTGATGAATTGGTGGCGATAACATTGATGGTGTTTGTGGTGAAAGTAAATGTGGAGATGGATTTGTTGAATAACTATGAGGTGGGGATAATGGCATTATGTGTTGTGGTGATGTTAAAGTCAAATAGTCATAATGATTAACTTGTTGTTGTTGTTGTTGCTGTTGTATTGTTGGTTGACTAGTGATATGAGATGTTGTTAATTGTATTTGATGCTGTGAATTATTTACATTTAAATTGTTTCTTTGTGGTAACGTTGGCGGTTGTTGAATATGATGTTGATTGTTTTTTATTTGAGATACTTGTAATAATTGTTGTTGATCTAGTGTTTGTAAAAGATGCTGATCTCCTTGTTGTTGTTGAAATTGTTGTTGCTGTTGTGGTTGTGGTTGTGGCTGTTGTTGTTGATTTATTATTTGCTTTGTTTCTTGAACAACTTGACTATCATTAACCTGTTGATTTTGTACATTTGTTGAATTCTGATGTTGCTGTTGTTGTATTTGCTGTTGCTGATGCTGTTGTTGTTGATGATTTTGTTGTTGAATCTGTGCTTGTAAAGTTGAGTTATTATTCTGAGATCCTTTTTGACCTGAAGTAATAACTTTTGTAGATTCATTTTGTTGTTGTACATTAACTGATTTTACTTTTAGTTGTTGATTTGAATTATAAGGTGAAGCTGAAGTTTTAGCTGACTTTCTGGCTCGGCTTGCTTTTAAAGTACCATTACCCAGATTAGGATTAGTATTTGATCTTTTAAGTCCACTACCTGTCTTAGCACTAGAATGTGATTGTCTTTGTAATGTTGATGAGCCAGTATTTTGACTTATTTTTTGAGGTGTTAAAATTTGTGTTGTTGTTGATGATTGAGTTTGGGTTTGAGATTGGGCTGGCTGGGATTGTGACGATGTCTTGTTTATTTGTGTCTTTGTCTGAGCTTGTGTTTGAACTTGTGATTGAGATTGAGTTTGAGTCTGAGGTTGTCCTTGCCCTTGGCTTTGTGACTGATTATTTGGATCAGATTTAAATGTATTAAGAAGTTCAACAATGTCATGATGACACTTTTCAGCAGCAATATCATGAGGATATCTATCCATATGATCAGTTATTTCTTTATTAGCTGAATGTTCCAATAAAACTTTTACAGCTTGATAAGCTCCTTCTCGAGCTGCTAAAAATAATGGTGTACATTCCTCATTGTCTTGAGCATCACGATTAGCATTATTCCGAAGTAACATTCTTACAACTTCATCATTGTTAGTTGATGCAGACCAATGAAGAGCCGTTCTTCCCTTCTTATCAGATGCATTAACATCAGCTTCAGCTTGAATTAAATCATTTACCATACCATTCAAAGCTAATCGAGTTGCACTGATTAATGGTGTTGTGCCATCATTTGTTTGAGCATTCAAATCAGTTGCTCTGTGTCTCAACAATAATTCAAATACACCTCTTGCATCAGCAGCAATAGCTGAATGTAAAGGTGTTCGTCCAGTTGAATCTCTAGCATTACAATTAGCACCACTGGCTAACAGTCTTTTAGCAGCATCAGCACGAGCAAAACGAGCTGCTAAATGAAGACATGTTTCACCAGTTTTTTCACCAGTTGCATCAATATTTGCTTGATTTGACATTAATTTATCAAAACTATCAATGTGATTGTTTTGCTGTGATTGGCCATTTATACCCACATCAGAATCAATGATTGTCTCACAATAGGGAACTGAATCACCAAAAGCTGAAAATATCATTAAAGGTGTTAATCCATCAGGTCCAACAATATCTTCACTTTTCATTAAACAATCACCAGACTCTGAATTCATCATTGGTGGTGTCATTGGTTCTTCATTGTTAAATGTTATCATTTCAGTTTTAATTGTTGGAGGTGGTTGAGGTATTAATTGTGTATCTCCAGTATATGTTTCATAATGATGTTGAATTTGTGACCAAGAACGAGGATCAATTGGTTCTTCATAGATCGTCTCAGTTTTTGTTTCCATTGATGCAACACTATTTTTAGCGCTATTATTAGTTAATCTTCCTTCTTTATTATCATAATATAAATGACCATCTAATCCATTAAGATGCATATGACTACGATGATCATAATGATGACCATAAATATTATCTTGATTATTGTGTCGTCTTCCACCTCGAGAAAGTGAATTTGTTTGATTATTAAAACGTGAATTATTTCGTCCATTTTTTGAAGATCTATCAAAATTTCCAGATGCAGCAGCACAAGTTGGTACTGAACGTTGGTAACCAGAATTATCGTTATTATTGTTATTGACAATTGTTGCAAACCCGTCAGGGAACCAAGTAATTGCGGAAACTTTATTCTTTGTTCTAACAGCAACATGTATTAATAAAGCTGCAGCAACACAAGTGATTACCATGCATCCAACAAAAACACCCCAAAATGTGGGTTGTCCACTTGTTGAATTACCAATGGGTAACAAATCAGCAGGATCAATTGTTGATTGTACTTTCTTAATGGACAATGCAGAGACCATTCCTTGTTCACCCATATCAACTTTACGACTCTCCAAAGCAGCAAAAAAGTTTGCTAATGATGAAGCATCTTCATAACAATCAGGATAACATTTACTATTGTCAATAATTAATGATAAATTTGACCAATATGTACCACTGTTTGTCATAATTGGATGAATCTCTTTCTCTCCAAATTCATTTCTTTTAATACGAAGAATTGAACCAGAAATTCGAGATAAATCTCGTAAAAATTTAGATAATTTAACGTTATCATCCATCAAATCATTATAAGGTAAATCAACAGTTATGAATAATTCACCACGTCCAAGGATTCTGTGTCCATTATAACAATCTAGACCATCCCATCCACATTCACTTGAATCACATCCTTTATCACAATTACCATTACCATAGTTTTCAAGACAATAATAATCATTTCTTTCATCGCATTTTAATTTAGTGGGATTATTAGGATTAAACTTTTTACTACCAGAGTCACTTGCAGTGGGGAAGAAAGCAGGTAAACTTGATTGTCTTGAGCCTTTAGAACCGTCACTTGATGTTGATGTTGATGAACAGTCTTTACCATCATATAAACAATTACGATTATTACATTCTTCATCGCATTTTCCATTGGAGAATCTTGACCAACAGTACGATGGTCGATGACATTTTGACCATGGATTACCATTTCCAAGGAAACATTCCTCTTTATTTGGACATTGGGGATGACATGAATGTCTAGAACATTCAATTTCATCATCTTTAAAATCAAAACCTTTGTCTTTATCATCATCATTATCATCGTTTTTAGGTGATGATGTTGATGGTCGACTTTCACATTCATAACTTCCATGTGTATTAATACACTTACCGCCATTTTTACATGGATTAACCCGTCCATTTGAACATTCATCAATATCAATTTCACAAAAATGTCCAGTAAATCCACTTGGACAAGTACATTGATAATCACGGAAATTTGTCAAAATAGTACAAGTTGCTCCATTTTGACATTTGTTTCCAACACAAGGGTTTATTTCAGTTTCACAACGTCGTCCAGTGAATGGAATTGGACATGAACATGTAAAATTATTCACTAAATCATGACATGTTCCACCATTTAAACACAAAGGTCCACCAAAATTATTTGACATCAAACATTCGTTGATATTAGTTTCACAATTAACTCCAGTGTATCCGGGTGCACAAGTACAAGTGTAATGAGACACAAGGTTATTACACTTTCCACCATGCTGACAAGGTGCTGATATACATTCATTTATATCAGATTGACATCTAATTCCAGTGAATCCAGGTGGACAATGGCAAATAAATGAACCTGGTTTAGGTCCTGTAGCACAAGTACCACCATTATAACAAGGATTAGATTCACATTCATTATAATCATTAAGACATCTTGGACCGAAATAACCACGAGGACATGAACATCTAAATGAATTTTCTAAATCATGACAAGTTCCACCATTAGCACATGGATTAGATGCACACTCATCAATATCAATTTCACAAGTTTGACCAGAGAAACCTGGAGGACATTCACAAGTCTGAAAATACAAAAAATATAAGTTTTTATTACATTACGTTATATTGAATAAAAAGTATAAAAGTTGAAAAGTTTCTCTAAACTTTTTCCACATCATATCAAATGAGTTTAAAAGAGTTTATAACACTTACGAATCCAGATATTTTATCATGACAAGTTGCTCCATTACGACAAGGTTTAGACCAACATTCGTCAGTATTTATCTCACATAAAGTTCCACTCGTTCCTTTGGGACATTCACATGAAAAACCATCAACAAGATCACGACAAGTTCCACCATAAAGACATGGAGTTGATAAACATTCATTTATTTGATTCTGGCAAAGTTTACCTAAGAAAAAATTCATTAAAATCATAAGATTAGCTTAATTAAATAAAAGGCATAAATTTATCAATCAAATATAATGATGTTATCATTAAGATCTATCATTATCTATTCATTAATTGACTAACAAAGGAAAACTTGGTAGACAATCTAAACATGCTCATAGTAATCAAGAAATTAATAATTGGCATAGTAAAGTTTAAATTGAAAGATAGAATTTCTTTTTCTTCTTCTTTTTCTTTATAATCCAATATCTTTAAATGATTATTTTTTCATTAAATATTTGTATATTTACCTTGATATCCTGGATCACATGAACATGAGAATCCATTTATGTGGTCAACACATTTACCATGATGACAAGGCGATGATGCACAATCATCGATATCAATGTCACAAGTTCTGCCAGTATATCCGGGTGCACATCGACAAGTAAATCCAGCAACATCATCAATACATGAACCACCATTTAAACATGGATCCGAGAAACATTCATTATCATTAAGTTCACATCTAGATCCAGAGAATCCAACTGGACACAGACATCTGAATGCATTAATTAAATCTGAACACATTCCTCCATTTAAACAGGGATTATCAGAACATTCATCAATATCAATTTCACATTGTTCTCCAGTAAATCCTTGCATACAAATACATCTATAACCACCTCTCATATCAAGACAAGTTCCATCATTTTGACATGGTGAAGAATCACATTCATTGATATTTGTTTCACATCGAGCTCCCGTAAAACCAACAGCACAATCACATTTAAAAGATCCTGGAGTATTAACACAAACTCCACCATGTTCACAAGGACTTCCAGATTCTTCACATTCATTAATATCTACCGTACAATCAGTTCCTTTAAATCCAGGTGGACAAGAGCAAACATAAGTTCCATCGATTGGGGATGTATCACAAATAGCTCCAGAATGACATGGATTATTAGCACAAGCATCATCATATTGGCAAAATAATCCAGTTTTATCGGGCGGACAGTTACAATGAAATGTACCAACTCGATCTTCACAAATACCACCATTTTGACATGGATTTCCAATACAATCATCAATATTTATTGAACAATCAGGACCGGTCCAACCATTGACACAAATACAAGCATAAGATCCAGGTGTGTTAACGCAAGTAGCTCCATTTTTACATTGAGATGATCTTAATGAACATTCATCAACGTCTTTTGAGCAAAATTTTCCAGAAAATTGAGGTGTACATTGGCAAGTATAACTGGCAATACCATCGATACATGTAGCTCCATTTTGACATAAATTACCTTCACAATCATCAATATTAATTTCACAGTGATTTCCTTTAAATCCTCTCGGACATTGTCGTGAAAATACCAAAGTTGGTAAAAAGAAACCACAAAAAAGTAGAGTCGATAATGAAATGGAGAAATGATGAAATGTCGAGTGACTTGAATGATACATTATTGCAGCCAAAAATCAAGAACAGATTATAAAAGTAGAATCACTGAAATATAAATTATTTAAGGCGAGTGGTCAAACCACTCATAAATTGATAATTAAAAGTTGACAAACTACAATCAAAGTAAAGTTGTTGATGAAAAATTAATTAAAACTAAAGGATATAATCGATGACATAATTACAAAGAAATGAATACTGTTAGACGTTTTTTAAAAAACATGGCCACAAAGAGATGGAAAAGCCGTTAAAGTTTTGTTGCATAAAGACTAAACAGAATGGCCGTCCAAGTAACAACTGCTGTTTCAACTCAAAGAGGAGCCACCATACGACCAAATGTTACATTAGAAACTTGTTTGAAGAAAGAGAGAAAAGAAAGAGAATCTCTCAATAAAGGAAAGAGAAGAAAGAGGAACATTCTGTTTATTGAGTGGCACTGAAAGCTTTCCCACGATGGAAAACAGTCGAAAAGGAAAATCAAACTTGAGAGGGAGAAGGAGAGAGATAGAGAGACTTTTAACCGCTTACTCTCTCATCTTCCCCATCATCCCTCTCATCCTCTTTTATATTAATATCTCCTATTATAGCAATGATTAGGGAATGTTATCATCAGAGTTGATACTTTATCTGGGTTCATCTTAAAGTTGACAAATAAGTCAACATCAAGTCTATCAGTTCCATCCATATCTTAAACCCTTTGCTAATTAGTAATAAGTAAATCTGGGCTCAATATATCTGGGTTTAATCATTATCTTGAAGCTTCTTTCTTCTTGTATCAATGTTAAGCTCAAAAAAATGAAAATCACAATGTGTCGACTCTTTAAATGTATCGCTTGGTTGGTCCCTTCACATCTCGGGACATTTTAATAAACATGTGTTTCATGTGCGGTTTTATTTATTTAATTCACTTGGGACATCGAAATGTATTGGGAGACAAATTTTTATTTGAAACAAGCAATAATCAATATGAAAGTTTACTTGATTATTTGTCTGGGACAATAAAAATTAAGGGTACATCTGTTGCTCTCAAACCTGTGAGATAATAATTGTTGACAATCTGGACTTTTCATTTGAACAACAAAAAATTGACAATTTTTTAAAAATTAAAAGTTAGGTGTAACATCATTGGTGGAGAGTCCTTTTGAATTGGGTCGATCCAATTGACATTGATTCCAAGTCCACTATTCCGCTAGTTTAACAACTGATTCACTTGTCTTACTGATCAACAGAATAGAGTTATAATGGGAAATAAAAGCTCGTAATACAATTTAAATAGAGAGGCGTCGAGGCATCAAGGCTTGGACCGCAATTGTGGTTGACCAGTCGGTCCAGATTAGTAAAGTTGCCTTTTCGTTTTGAGAAACTCTTAAAAAATAAAATACCTAAAATGATGACGAAAAAAGTTCCTCAGTTGTCTGGAAAATCTTGACGAGCTAAATTAACGGTAGTTAGTCAGGAACTTTTTCACCCATTTTGTTAAGTAGTTGAGTTGCTTCCTTGTAGGCCTAAGAAAAAGATGAAATCAAAATTTAAAAATGAAAAAGTGAAAAAATGACGATTCTGTTGGAAGCAAGCTTAAGATTGATTGAAATGATTGAAACATTAGACTCAATGTAATTTAATAATTGTTGGTGAAAACTTACTTCAGTGTCAGCCCACTTCACTGATCCTTTGTATTTGTTTACAATTGATTTGAGATGGTTTGTTGCTCTGTCCTTTTCCCGGTTTAAAGCCAACAATGTCTTGGCAATCATAATTTGATTTTTTGAATAAAATCCTGATTCAATTTTTTCAGCTCTTTCAAACAACTCAAGGGCTAACTCGTAACTTGCCTCTGGTAATGAACCGAAAAATAAATCTGGATAAAAAATGGCATCAGTTAAATTAAAAACATCAAGACGTAGTTAAAGGAGCAGATGAAAAATATAACTAACTAGCAAGATTCCTCTCGACCCAAGTAACAGATGAGCAGCCATAATGCCATTCTCCAAGAAGATAGTAAGCAGTCGGGTCGTGAGGTGAAAATTCAATGGCTTTTTCCATGAATTCTTTGATTCGCAGCAGATTAGCTATACGAGCTTTAGTTCCTTGTGCCGTTGAATATTCATCTAAAATAATGGCAGCCCACTAATAAACAAAAAGTTTTTTGAAAATGATGAAAATGACTGAAAAATGATGAAAAATTGAATTTATTCACCTTGTAAGCTGATCCACATTTATCGTTAATCTTCAAAGATTTTTCAACCAGCGAAAAAGAGTCCTCTAATATACTCATGTACTCTTGAGAACCTTTATCAGTTCGGTATTTGAGTTGGTGATAGTTACAACGAGCAATCCTCCAAAGAACCTCATTATTTTCTTCCCAGCATTTTAAAGATTTTAATAGGGAGATCATTTCCTCTAATTTATTTGAATCAAACAGTTTATCAGCTTGCTCCAGAAGTTGTCTCTCTTCATCTTTAGGCTCAGAGTAGGCGTAAGCCAAAGTGAAAGCTAACAACGAAGGAATAACTTTTGAGCTATGCGAGCTTTGGACACGCTCAAACATAGATTTACTTGAACATCCAAAAAGTCGGCTGTGAACTTGATTTCTGGACTGTTTGAGATAGTTAGCAAGAAACGAACGACAGGCACGATTGTAGATTATTTTACTCATTGTACACTTAAGAATATTGGCAAAACAATGAGTTGAAATGTAATATTAACGTGTCACATGAGATGGAAATTGAGTTGAGTTAACTTGATCAGAAAATATATGATTATTGAAACAAGGAAAAAAACAGTAGAAAAGAATGATAACAATCAATGGAGAATTGGAATGGAGAGAGAGAGATGAAGAAACAATCAGCTGAAAGCAGAACAAGTTTTTCTTGTAAATGCTGATCGATAAGCACCAAGTCAAAAGTAAACAAATTAACTTCAAGTTGTTAACAAGGTAGCATAAAAATTTAGACACTCAGCGAGACAATCTCGTTTTGTTGGTTCAATTTATAAGGAACAATAATCTTTGATTAACGAAAAATCACAGCAAAAAAGCATTTAATTTTCACTAAAAACATTTAAAAGGTCTCAGATTTCTGATTCAGATTGTTTATTAATCTGATTGGAAAGTCTGAGTTTTAATTTTGTATTAAAATACACAATTTGATAACTCATCTCAATGATGAAAATTCTGGTTAGAAACCAAGGTAAAAAGGAATACAGAACTAAACAATAACAGAAACAGCTTGTGATAACTGTTGACAACTGAAAATGCAATTATTTTTACCGACAGATGGCAACAGCTACGAGAAACTTGTCTCGACGTTTAAACCTACCTGAGCTGTTAACTAAGGCAAGGTTCAATCGATTAGAAATCACACAATTTTGTGAAATGACAGTAAAATGTTATTCAAATATTGAAGCTAATCTTACCAGATAATTAACGATGCAAATAACATTTAAAGGACGATCCACAACGATCCACCCAATTTTTAATCGATTTTGCCTTGCCTTGCCTTGCTGATAACGCAAATTCATTGTATCATTTAAACCTTTAGAACCTTGTTCAACAGGCAAGAGCCGAAAGTCCACCAGCTTACTTTTTTCCAGATTTTTACTACAGTCTTTAACTCAAATAAACGTATTAGTGATAACACTTGACTTAGTCTACGACAGTTCAATCGAATCTGATTCAACCTAAACTAATTTATCTTACACTGCCCTGGAATAGTCTCAACAAATCCAGTTGTAATTGATCTAATCAGATTATCTTCATCATTAAATTGAGTATGAGCTTAGTAAGCTGAGTAAGACTTTTGAAATGAAAAGATTGACTCTTGTATCTCTCGCGAATTACGACATTTCGTTGATTGATTAATGTTGATGGTAGTTGATTGAGAATTGGGAATGATAGAAGTCAAGTTGAATATGCGAAAATAATATCAATATTTTAAATATATAGCTTCCACCACTTTTAGCGTTACCAAACACAGTGTTGCCCATTCTTGAATAATGGCCAAAACTCGTCCTCTATATGTCTCAAGTTATGATGAATTGTGGCGTTCTCAGGAAAGGGCTATCAATTTGAAACAATCTTTATTGTACATTTTCAACAATTGAAGGAGTTAGTCTGTAATGAATAAATCCTTTCTTCAGTGATGTGAAAATCTAAATACAGTTCAGGTTGGCAGCTGATTTCAAAAGTTTATCTCATCTTATTTCAATAACAATAAAGTGTTAATTTCATTATAACAACCATTATGTATTTAAAAAGGATTGTGAACTCAATAATATTTTAATGGTTCAACTATAAAAATACTTACAGACCATAATTAAAAAGATCCGTTAATAAGTTTTTGTGAATATCCATTAAACAATGTCTGGATATTGAAATGAATTGATAAAATCCAGTTTTCTTTTGTTCAATACAATTCGCTCAAAAGATGTTTAAATTAGAAACACTAGAATGTATAATCAAGAGCAAATTGGTAAATTGCTGTTACCTCTTTGACTGTAATAAATTAGCTTTATCGATTAGACCAAACAGGTTCGTTTATCCAAGGCGTTAAATCCAATCTACCTAGAGTAGGATCTCTGCAGTCAATTTTAGGATTCCTGTTGGATTAAAGAGGTTTATCATGTTAAATTGGTTTAATTCATTAAACAATGAAAATGGCTTACCATCGAGAAGGAAGTAGCATAGTTAAAGGTTGGACTTTTGATATATCGCCATTATCACACAAAATACGAGCCAATGTGGTTTTACGTATCTGCATCAATTGATCTGTAATGAAAAATATTGACTCAATTGTAATCAAATTTGATAAACAGTGAAATTGCAGTAAAAAATATTCATCCGAAAACTTACTTTTACTAAATGAAGACTCTAACTGGCCGTGTTCATACCAGAATCTATCACCCTCTTTCAATCGGCGAAATTGTTCTGCTATTATACAAGCAAATACAGGGCCAACAGCTGCTCCTGGTAATTTAATTTCCAGATTACCAGCAACAAACAAATCAATATCATCAACGGATTGATAAAGTGAAGCTAATTGTTCAATCAACTCGGGAGGTATCGTATCAGCTAATTGTCTGAAGTTAGAGGCTCTTCGAAGTCCACAAGCTTCCCTCCATCGATTATAGTCGGGTATTCCATGATCTCGACCACGCTGGATATTGATTGAAATTAAATCCATTCCAAATGGAGATGATCGAGTTTTAAATAAATTATTGGTTAATTCAGGAGTGAAAAGATCATCTGATCTTCCAGAAGGTTGTCCTGTCAATCCATTGACCATAAGAGATATCCCCTGAGTGTCATATAGAATTTCTGGATTGAAAAATAGGTTAGATAATCGTTGGCGATCAACAACTTGATTATTGTCATTCCTTAATTCAAACAATCCAGGAACCAAAGTATGGAGACGATAAGCAGCTGTAGCAAAACCAGAAACAATAGATGGATCCGTACTCGGATCATATCGAGTGGAGCCTTTGATCCGTGGATTAAGATCAAAGGCTTTCATAACCTTTGCACCTGTTAAAATTAATTTTAAACAAAAACAATTTTTTATTCAACATTTTGTGAAAAATTAGATCAATTTCTAAAAATTATCACAATTTCAGTATAAGTTAATCAGTGAATCAATCTCACCTAAAATAACAGGAAGAAATTCCGAATAAATTATGTGCTGCAATTGGGCAACAACGATTCTTTTAGCTTCTTGGAATATTATTTCATCTGACCAGCCTGGATTTAATTGATGTAATTCAGAGGCAATGAGATTATGTTGACGAAGCCATATTGTATGAAGAACTGTTAATTGCGGATGTTCATTCAATCTGCCATCTCCTCCTCTGAAGCAGGATGCTGATCTTCGCACTGATTGACAAGATGCATTAACATCACGAGGTAATAAGGAACCAACAGGCGTTGAACTTGTTACCAAGAAACCAGATATACCTGATCGAAGGGCCCTTTCTTCATCCTCAGAGTTACCATAAATCATACCACCATCGATAAAAGAAGATAGTTGATTCAACTGTTCTCTTGGACCAGATTGACAACCGGGTCTTGGAGCTGCGGCAGATCGAACAACAGCCATACAATTAGTCCTAAACTGTGAATAAAATGGATCATCTGGAGGTAGTATGACTGAAATACAAGCTGGGTGAAGAAGTGATGGATCAATTTCAGCTTGCGAAGGACAACATTGGATTCCTGATGATCTGGTTAATCGGGTTGTTACCGTTAAAGTTAAATCGTGGTCTATGAACTGACCAAAAACCATCAACATTAAACTGTAACGAGAACTTGACTGAGACGATGGAGGTAATAGTGATAAACTAAGTACACGAGCTGAAGGTAAAGGTGCGCCATTTTCACTTGCTCTTGGAGCATCTATTGAATCAGCGTAATCTGGAGGAAGTAAACGTCCAAAAGGACTCAAGGCCTTACCCAGAGTCGGTCTATTCAAGTTGTTGCATGAACCATCAGGCTGTCGATATTTTGTAGATGGACAAGGTCTTTCAGGTGGACAACGGTCTCTAATTGGACTATTCAACAACGATATTGACCTTAGAGCTAATATTTGTTCAGTCCCTTTTAGCCGCAATCTATTTATTGATAGAAAACAATTTTTGATTTTATTCGACTTATATTTATATTTTTGCTTGCAATTTACCCTTTAGCCAATTCAATGCCGACTCTGTTAATGAGTTCACCATTACGAGAAAGCTGAAGAGCTTCATCGGAGTGACCCAATAGTTCCTGATGAAAAGATGCAGATGAACCGCGTTTAATAATCAAATTTTTCTTTAACAGCTCTTTCTCAATCAATTGAATTTTACGCATCCAGTCAAGTCCATTAGAAGCCGCATTTTCAATTGTAGTTGAAGGAAATTTTGGTAATCTAAATCCAGTTTCAAATCGTCGTCCAGCAATCTCAAATTGTGCAGTGATTGGAACTATAAAATCAATTCGAATCAACTCAGACTGTGTTAAAATTGTAAAGATAGATTGTCATCTACTTACGAGTTGTATTATCGATTAAATTGATTTCCTTTGGACAACAAATTCCCGTCAATTGTTTGTTCGTCTCAAGATTACATTCTGTTGGATCTGAGTTTAGTAAATCTATTGTCTGACATTGAATCAAAGGTGAACATCGAAAATTGACTGGACACGAAGATAATGGTCGAGGCAATGATGGCTCTTGTGGTATTGCAGGTCGCCGGGTCGAAGGAGGAGGTCGCCTTTGGACTAGTGTATCTTCACCTGGTAATCCTCTACTTCCATCAGGAAAAATGACTTGACCAGCAGTTATCACAGTAAACAAAAGGACTATCAAACAATAATTAATCATGTTGAAACTACAATGTTAACTATCCAGTATACAAAGACTGATGCTGGTTTGAAATTTAATGAACAAATTGATTCTCCTTCTATCTTTTTACGAGTTTTTCTTAGCTACAGGGGATTCCCTGAATGTTCAAGTTTTTGGTTGATTGTTTATTTACTTGGCCCTTAACCATAGTGGTTTTGACTTTACCAAGGTCTCAATTTAAAGCAATATTATTCTTATTTTGTGGTTATAACCAATTCATCAATCAATGTTATTTCGTAAGGATGGTGATAGATTGGTTATTTTCAAGAAATCATCGCCAATATTATTTCGCTCATTGGTGGACACATCAACAATATCTGGATTTTCCCAATTAGATTGAACATAATTATATTCAAGTTTAAACTCATATAATATTTCTGATCATTTTGTCATGATTAACATTCGATTTCTTGGAATTTATAAATAGCTTACGTCAAACTCTAATCATTATTAGTTTACGCATTAAAATTACTATATTTAACTTGAACTGTTCATCGCTGCTTTTAAATCCAAATCAACCTTGCTTAAGATTCTAATCCGATCTTTGAGCTGATGTAAGATTCATCATAAAAAATACCTTAAATAAAGCTTTTTGATTAAGCAATTACTTAATTTATTGTGCGCGTTTCAAAAGCGTTAATAAAACGTTTAATTTGCATTTGATTATCCTTATACTAACACAGAAACAATGTGAACAGGAATACATTGAGTTAATTGGTATGAGTGTTAAATTATGGGGTTTTTAATACACTCATTAATTTGAAGATAATTATTTCACCGAATTGAATAGCTATCACGATAATCAGAGAAGCAATATAAAAGTAAAATAATTGATAGAATCCATTCCAATTTAATGATTTCCAATTGAGATCAGTTGATTTTGTAGACAATTCACTTTTGAATAAGTCAAATTTGGACACTGGGAATACGTTAGCGCTCAGTATGAAATCGATATAAATTTTATTTTCCATTCTTCCGCCAATTCCACTTTCAAAGACATTTAATATGCTGCATGATCAAAATTGAAGACCAAAAGATTCAAATTATATATCAATGATAAATATAAATTACTCACAATTTCTTGATTTTAACCTCGAATGGACTGGCAGCTAATTTATGGCTCATAAGTATGGCCTGTAGTGACCTGTGAAAATCTCTTTCTGAGAAGTACATCTCCTGGTTAGGATCAACATACCCAGATGATGCTCCAACAACTGGAGCAAGCCTTTTGGCTTTACTAGAAATTAAAACAGCAACTGAATCCTTTATTGATTCCACACCAGGTATGGGCCCTAACTGAAAGGGTACACCAAAACCTTTAGCTTTAGCCTTTTCGTAAACATCGCCATAATCTTTGGTCACTTTGGCTTTGAACAAGTCGTACATTGACATTCCTTCAATGAATATCGGTGATTTGCCGTAATAAACGATATCTCTCAATGTATCAATTTTAACATCAGCATTTCCGACAATAGTTTGAGTGTTGAATGAAGCATTGAAAATGAAAACAGGAAACATTAGGATAACCATTAAAATCAGACAGAACCATGTTGATTTACGAGATAGATTCTTATAAAATGAAGTACCAAAGGATTGATAGATAGCTTTGACAACGGATTCAATGTTGAAGCGTTTAATAACCACCAATTTCAAAATTAAAACTATAAAAATAGCCAATAGTATGGGAATTGTGTTGACTGACACTAAACTAGGAACAACAGCTGAAGTACCATCACCCAAATTGCGAATTGAACTGATGTAATAGCTTTCTTCTGATATAACGGGTGTGAATCGACCGGGTGGTTTTTGAGTGTCCAGTGCCAATGGTAAAAAACCCAATTCCACTTTCTATCGTCAAAGACATTATAAAACGTAAATGTAAAGGTTCGATAATACCAATTGACAACTTTCAATAAACTGGTATTATATATTGTCAACAAATTTGACAATGACAAGAGTTAACCATGAAAGTATAAATCATAATAATAATTGATAAAATATTTGAATAAAACTTACCTCTTCTTGCATCAAACCCAAAACTCCATCATGATAACCAGTCTCTGTAAGGACACCTATTTGACCAGATTCTGGTAAATGAAATTTCAAACTAAAAAAAGGTTAAAATAGGTTAACTTGTTACACTTGACTGAAATGTTACTTGCAATGGCCATATTCGGTCATTAAGGATGCAAAGTCTTTAAGAGCTTTAAGTCCAGGAACAATTTGACCATCTTTTTCGATAAACCCATCGGAAAGCGGTATCTAAAGCAAAATTAATCCGTTGAGTTGGTTTATTTGACGAATCTTTATTAGTTTCATATCAGCTTTTACTCACTGTAAAGACACCAACTGATAAATTCATCGCTTCCATTTCTTCCAGTACTTCAAGGCCTAGTTCACACTTATTTTAATTAATTAATGTATCCACGTTTAGACAATCAAATGTTAAATTTGCTTAATAAATAACTTTTTTTACACAAAACATTCGTTTACAAACTTCATACGTTTACATCAGACAAACATATCAATATCAACAAACACTTTACATTGAAAAGTTTAGTCCGCATGTTTATTACAATTTTGTAGTAATATTTCGATATTGCATCAATTCAGATAACTTCATTTACAACGAATCATATGATACATGATTTAAGTTAATTTTATATTAAGATGAAGATACAAAATGTAAATCCATTATTGGTTATTCAATTTATCATAATTTCGTATTAGCAGCAGATTGATTGATAATAAAACCTAATTGAACTTGAAATAGCAGATCGAATCAGTCGCAAGGTAATTTTAAATAGTTAGCAAGTTTTTAGCTTTTTAATTCTGATAATCGCTAAAAATGCTTTCCTGTGAATAGTTCTGTATTGGTCTTTACTATGAGCTACACATAAGTTGTGAGAATGCAATGTTTATCCAGATTCTTGAACGACCAACTATTGAATTTTCACGAAATATCTTCTACAATCAACAAAATAGGGAATTGCATTTCCTCCGAAAAGCTGCTTTATTTTGTATGTAAATTGATTCAGTGAATGGTCCATCGTGATTAAAACTAATATATTGAAATGTCCAAACCATTTCAATTTTGAAAGGCTTGAATATTAATGTCTTTAATAATGAACCTACTAGATAAATAAGAATCCATTTATCTATTTGCAACATTAAGTCCATCAAAATACAGTTAATATGAAATTAATATAAAGTCTGTTTCAAAAAGTTTATTATCAAATAGATCATTCAGAAAATTAACTTTAATCAAATAGTTTTGTGTTCAGACGACAGTATAAGGCGAGAAATTGTTGGAATACATTGAAAGTAATAGAATAATATTCACGGAAAATATCAATTCCCATGTAATTTACAGTAAAAGGAGTATTTAAATATTTCTTAATAGTTAAAAGATGACATCTGCAAAATAAATAATAAAATGAATATAAAGGCAAATATTCAGTATTTCAATTTGAATAGTCTTTTAAGTTAATTACCTGAAAGCCCTATCTGATGAAAGACCTTTTAATACAGACTTCATTAAAACTGTTTACTTTAAATTAATTGTCTTTTTGATGGACTAGATGTTATTAAATTTCTCGTTGACCTGAGTCTCACAATGGACCTTAGTTGAGTTTAGTTGCAGGTTTTATCATTTTTGCAACGGTCGATTGACTTCTGTAAGTCAAGTCTAACTATCGCAATTTGAATAGTTAGTCCACAACGTTAAGAGTCATACCTTACATGTAAATGATATATTTATGTAAAACATTCATTAATATTGTACGGACACGAGCTAAAGTGAGGCACAATTTGAGAGCACAGTGGCTAAAGCAACTTTAATAAGTTCAAATAAGAGGTTTACATTCATGTTATTATATTAACAGTGTTTGTATTTCAGAAAACAGACGATTTAATGAATTAACTTTTAATTGTCTGTTTGTTAGGTTGGTTAAGACATTGGTTGGGTTTATAGCTTCAAAGCACTTCAGTTTGCATTTCTTATCCTTTGACGCTTATATAGCAGGACAATTAGTATCTCAACAAGTTGAACAATCAATACCAAGACTAACAATGCAATGTATCCATAAAATATCTCACAAAATGTACTGTAATTTAGAGCTTTCCAGTTAACTTCGAGTGAATTTCGTGGAATTTCCGATTTGTGAATGTCGAATAAGCTTGCTGGATAAACGCTCAATATAAATTCAACGTAGACATCAGCTTCTACTTTTTTAGCGATTCCAGCTTGAGCTATCCTTTGCGTTCTGAAGCAAATAAAACAAATTTTGAAGATTACATTTTGACATTATAAAGCTATCAAGTTAACAAATATTCATGAAAATACAATTTTATGCTTACATAAAATGAATTCTTCTCTTTATTGATTTAGGAGTTTTGAAGCCCAACAGCAAAGCTTGTACAGACCTGTGAAAGGGCCTTTCTGAAAAATAATGAGCCTGGTTGGCCTCAAGTACTTCGGACGCTCCCAGAGGAGCCAGCTTTATACCTAGAGTAGAGACGAAGGTGAGCATTCTGTCAGCAGGTCTGTAAACAGGAATTGGCCCAAGTTGGTGCGGTTTATCAAATCCCTTTGATTTTGAACGCTCATAAATATCAGCATAATCTTTATTTACTTTTGCTTTGAACAAGTCGAACATAGACATGCCCTCGAAAAAGAATGGTATCTTGTTATAAGTAATGACATCTCTCAATGTGTCAATTTTAACGTCATTCGTCCCGACAATAGTTTGAGTGTTGAATGAAGCATTGAAAATGAAAACAGGAAACATTAAGATAATCATTAGAATGAGACAGAATGAATGTCGAGATAAGTTCTGATAAAATGAAGTACCAAATGATTGATAGATAGCATTTACAATCGATTCAATGTTGAAGCGTTTGATGACAGCTAATTCCAATAGCAGAACTATTAAAATAGCTAATAGTATGGGAATTGTGTTGACTGAAATAAAACTATCAATGAAAGCTGCAGTACCTCCACCCATATTACGTATCGAACTGATGTAATAGCTTTCATCTGATATAACGGGTGTAAATTGCCCTGGTACTTTCTGAGTGTCCAGTGCCATTGGTAAGAAACATAATTCAACTTTCTGTTGTCAAAAAGATTTTGCAAAACGCTAATATTTTTACTTTTAGATTGTATTTAAATTATGTTTGTTTACACATTTGACAATCACAAGTGTTAACCATGAAGATATAAATCATAACTAATAAGAATTGATAAAATACTTGAAAAACTCACCCCGTGTTGCATCAAACCCAAAACTCCATCATGATAACCAGTCTCTGTAAGCACACCTAATTGACCAGATTCTGGTAAATGAAATTTCAAACTAAAAGGCAATTAATTTGATTGGGATTGATTAGTGAAAATGCTCATGATTGATCATACTTAAATGGGCCATAATCTGCCATGATTGCTGCAAGTCGTTTAAGTGACTTCAATTTAGGAACAATCTCTCCATCTTCTTCGACAAATCCTTCAGCAAAAGGAACCTACAATATAAAAATATCCGTCAAGCACAGAATTCACAGATCGATTTGCAAACTCACCGAAAAGGCACCAACAGTTAAATTGTTTTTCACCATAATGAATGACACTCAAGTAAATTATGTCATAGTAGTCTCGCCCAAAAATGTTTATATCTGTTTATATCTTAATGGCGTGATCTTAAAGAATCTTAACTTTAAAAACTTTTTCTACAGAGTCTCGAAAAAAGCACAATATTTGAAATTCTCAGCCTCCATTTATCACCCTGTATGTTGATGTTTATTTTGCTGAGTTGGAATGAAGTTTCAATGAAAAGATACATTTCAATCATTTAATTACCAAGGATCAATAATTTATTATTTACTTTCACTTTGATAAACAACCCAAATGACGATTAAAAATCTACTTTTATTGACTGAAAGTCGAAGAGAAATGTAACAATTTAGTTTATAACAAAAGTTTTAACATCACGTTTTGAATCTTCATACAATTTATTATCAATTTATTACAGATATTAAGGTGCTCTGGTATAAGAGCTGACTTGCTAGAGCTGAGTTTCTAGAGGTATTAAAACTGAGTCCATTCGTGAAATCAAAATATTTTTATGGTCAGAAGTTTTCGAGAAAATCGAGTGCAAAGTTGAAATTTCGAACTCGCTTTAGTTCAGTTTGCTTGACGTAAAATACTATCTCATTTTATGCAAAACAGTTGCAACAACACCTGAGAATGAGTCTCGCATCTATTGAAAATTTACGTCTGTTTTCTGAATCTCTGAGTCATCTGAGTCTGAATTACATTAATTTAGATAGCTTCATTTGTAACGAATCATCCGATAAGTTATTTTACATTCATTGATCTTTATTGGTCAACCGAGAGCCAAAGCAGTCTAAGCAATGTTTATCCATTAAGTATGGCACGATTAATAATTTACTTGAGTTGAAGTTACTTCATCATTTGCGAACCATTAGATGACCAAATTGAGAAGCAACTTGACTTTTACTCTTCAAGCCCTTAACCAACTCGAGTTGATTCATTGAGAATAAATTATTAACTTTGGCTAATATGATATGAAACTGATAATATCATTATCATTTCTGGGTTAGCAGTAACCAGATAGTTGTGTTGTGATCACCCTAACTAATCGTTCTAAAATACCACTGGTTGGTCTAACACGACTAACAATTAATTAGATGACACAAATTAAGTAACAAAATTAGATTTTACTTTGACAAGATTATCACAATTAAAGGTGAACTTAAAGTTAAATTGAACAAGGAAAGAGTTTCCTTTTATACAAATAGAAATCACAGAGGTGGAAGGGTAAGCGAGAGAAGAGGGGAAAACAGTGAGGAAAAGGAAAAGACAGGAACCCGGTTCCTGGAGGCGCTAACTTTAAACCAATTATTATGGAAGGTTCAAAGGCTTATAACAATCCCCCATTCTTAGGTCAAACTACTGGTCCATATCCTTGGAGGTTTATCCGTAGAGTCTGTCCATTTCGTACTCGAACCTCAGTAGGAAGCACAATCCACCATGATGGTGAATGTCCAATTTGATGCTGTCGAAGGCGTCGCTGAGGATCCAACACAGTGTAATCACATCTAATTATAGCCCCAATATCTTCTCCAAATTCATTAATAATTCGATTTCGTAAAACAGAAGCAGGAGTGTCCACTGACAGGTCATTAACGGTCATCGTTCGGTTTCCATATCTCACATTAATCGGAGGACATCTGTCATAATAGCGTAGGTGACATCGTTGATTGGTCATGTAACCTTCAATTTGTCGGTTTAATCTCCTTCTGAGAACCTGGTTCTCTTCACGTAAAGTCCGAAGAGTTTCTTCTAACTCTTGATTGGGTGCTTGTTGTGGAACAACATTATCTCTCGCATTCATAATTACTTGTTCCAATTCAACTATCCGAGCTTTGGCTTCTCTTAACTGATTATTCAGTTCGGTCCTCTGTTGCTCTTGGACAAGCTCATTATCAGTCAATTCAGTTCGCAACCTATTAACATAAGCAACACAATCGTGATTGTCTGATGTCTTTAAGCACCTACAAATCCGACACCAATCCGGATTGAAGTCACAGGCGTCAACATGGTCCTTATAATTAGAGATTCTGATTATCTCCATACACCCTTGATCCTTATATTTACAATAAAGTTCCAAAGCATTTCTGGCCACCGAATTCTTCAGACCCACAAGAGGCAAATCACCAACGGATCTTCTCAATAACTCATTACCTTTACAGTGAACAGGGCAACTGATATCCCTGCTCCTCCGAATACTTTCAGCTAAACATGAACGGCACCAAACAATTCCACAACCAGGAGGTGGACTAGTGGAATGAATCTGTGGGTCCTTAGCAAAACCCAAACAAATGGTACAACGGTAATCCTTCCAAGCTTCAGGATCAACAAATTGCGTTTCATCTATCTCATAAATATCATTTAATTCCCCACCAATCCAAGGAACATCGGGTTGTTGATTAGGTGGTGGCCAATTATTTAATTCAGCGGCATTAATCCGTAAAGGAATGGCAAAAGGGTCAGGATGATTATCCACAGGATCACCCTCAAAGATGATCTCAATGTCATCATCGATTCCAGGAATCGCATAACGAGCCATGTTGAGATTAAGATGAATTACATCAAAGAAGAAAGAAAAAGAGTTGAATCTGATTCAACGGATATCACAATTGTACCCAAAGTACTTCACAAATTTACAGAAACAATAAACAAATAAAAAAATGAGTAACCCCAAATGGATAAAAGAAAACCCAAAAAAAAAATTAAAAGAAAAGGGTAAAAGGTGTTAACCCATAGGCAAAAGGAAAGGAAATGGAGAAGAGAACAAATGTGGTGACCAAAGGCGCCAACCATAACCGATTAATCGATTGTCTTCGATGAATCCAAAAATTAAATTAAATTAAATTAAATTAGAAATCAAGTATTTCATCCATTTCTAGTTCCTCTGTTCCATTGTTGTCGTGAACCTTATTGTCATGATAAGGTCGCATTCGATTGACATGGACAACATCTATTTTTATGGGTCCTTTCGTATTGATCACTTCATAGTTGACTGAATTAAGTTTTCGCATTATCTTATATGGGCCTTTGAAACGATTAACAAACTTTTTGTTTTTCCCTTTTACCAATAAAGGTTGCTTGATGAGCACAAAATCACCTTTCTGAAAGGAAATGTCTTTATGACTTCGATCATAGTATTCTTTAGACCTTCGTTGTTGATTCTGAATGTTTAATTTAGCAATTTCTCTTGCTTTATCCAAAGCTTCTTCGCGAGTGGAAACATCAAGCCAACCGGGTTGGATATTTAATTTACTTTCCCAAGGTAATCTGGCTTCGATACCATGAGCTAGGAAGAAGGGCGAATACTTTGTGCTCAGATGAGGGGTAATGTTATAAGCAAAGATAACTTCATCCAAATATTTATCCCATTCTTTTGGGTTATCTTTGGCATATATACAGAGAGTGGTACCCAAATAAGCATTGAAGCGCTCAGTCTGACCATCCGATTGAGGATGATAAGTTGTAGTCAATCGGTGTTTGATCCCATAGATTTTCAGAAAATCTTGAAACGTTTCACTTAATAGATTAGTTCCACGGTCAGTGAGTAAAGAAACGGGAACTCCAAAACGCATAATCCAATGGTTATAAAGGGCATTTATAACCTCTTCACTTTCAGCGGTTTTGATAGGTGCAGCCACTGCGTATTTTGTTAATCGATCATTTATACATACCACATACCGAAATTCATTCACACTTATCGGCATTTCAGTGAGGTCTAAACTTAAATCCTGGAAGACTTTGTCAGGATTTCTTATTGGAATCATCAATCCTTGTGTTGTAGTCGGGTAGGATTTCCTCAATTGACAATCTTTACATGCACGAACGAATTCCTTAACATCCTGGGACATCTTAGGCCAGTAAACGCGTAACTTTATTTTCTCAAGGCATTTGTTAATACCCAAATGGCCTTCTGCATGAGCACTCTGAATCAGATTCAGTTTCAGTGCCTTGGGTAGTACAGGAACTATGCGATCCCCTCTTCGGAAAACCAATATTCCTTCCTGGAAGGAGAACCTCTTGAGTAATCGTCTCATTGACCTCTTTGACAAGGTTTGACAGTTCAGCAGTTCAGAGATTCGTTGACAGAACGAGTCATTTTGCTGGGCTTGTTTAAAGTCGAAACCATATTCCACATTCATCACAACCAACTGTTCGTCAACTCCCTTCCCTGGAAAGATATGAGAGTCATCTAGTTCTTCACTCCGATTTGGCAGAGGGTATCTTGATACACAATCAGCGTCGCCATGCAAGCGTCCCGATTTATATTTAACCAGGAAATAAAATTCTTGTAATTTCAAAGCCCATCTCGTCAGGCGTTGGTTTATAACCTTGGATACATTCAGCCAACACAAGCCACAGTGATCGGTAACGATTACAAATTGGCGTCCATACAAATAAGTTCGTAATCTTTGCGTAGCCCATACAATGGCCAAGCACTCCTTCTCGGTCACACCATAATTGACCTCAGCAGGGTTTAAGGTCCTTGATACAAAACACACAGGCTTGAGAACCCGGTTCTCAGTTATTTGCTCCTGATAAAGCACAGCTCCGATACCATAATTACAAGCGTCTGTATGTAATTCAATAGTACCCTGAGTGTTAAAACATGCTAAAACTGGTTTTCGAGTGATTACAGTTTTCAGATGATTAAATGTAGTTTCCTCCTTTGAGCTCCAACAGAATTCCGAATTCTTTTTCAACATTATAGACAGGGGGTGAGCAATCTCACTGAATTTAGGTATGAATCGTCTAAAATAAGAGCACAACCCAAGAAAGCGACGTACATCCTTACAGTCCTTGGGATAAGGAAAATTTTTGACAGTCTCAATATTGGCAGAGCTAGGGGAAATACCATTTTCATCAATATGGTATCCCAGATAGTCGATACTTGCACAATTAAAAGAACATTTCTCTTTTCGTAATTTAACGTTCCATTCTCTTAACCTGGTTAAGACAGCGATTAAATTGACATCGTGTTGATCCTGATCTTTCCCAAAAACCAGGATATCATCAAAGTAAATGAAGCAATTGATATAATTGAGTCCTGCAAGAACACGACTCATAGTACGGCAGGCAGTTGCTGGGGCTCCTTTCAAACCGAAGGGCATAACTTTACATTCGAATAAGCCTTGTGGTACAATAAACGCTGTTTTCGGCTGATCTGCAGGATTCATTTTGATATGCCAATACATAGCTGCTATGTCTAATGTCGAAAAGACCTTACAACCTTCCAACATATCAAGGGCGTCCTCAACACGAGGAATAGGAAATGGATCAGGTAAAGTGATAGCATTCAATTTTCTGTAATCGATGCAAAACCTGGTTTTGCCACCTTTCTTCTTCACCAGGACGATCGGACTTGCCCACGGGCTTGTGCTAGGAATAATAATCTTAGCTGTCAACATATCATCAACAAGTCTCCCAATAACTTCTCGTTCAATACTTGAAATTTGATAATATTTCTGCTGGATAGGTGGATGGTTACCAGTGTCAATATAATGATAGGCATCCGGGATGCAACCAACGTCATTCTCATCCTGAGCAAAAATATCCTCAAAAGCAGATAAATCTACTACATTAACTTCCGGGTGCTCTTGGTCAAGTAAAAACATGGTCCTCTCCTGAGGTGAAGTTCGAGTCACATCAGGGTGAGGCTTCAATAAGATTACGCTTTTCTTATCGTAATCGATCCGGACATTGTGTCGACTACAAAAGTCCGAGCCTAACAGCAAATCATACCCTAACCGACGCATAACGATAAATCGGGTAGGTATGAGGAGGCGATTAACACGAATAGAGGTCTCACAATATCCCAAAGGTTGTTCAAGAGTCTGATTGGCCATCCGTAAAGCACCATAAGGCCAAGGTTTAATGTCAACTCCGATTTTACTCCTGAACTCTTCCTTTATCAACGACGAACGAGCGCCAGTATCCACTAAAGCTCTACAAGAGACTTCATTAACTCGTACAATCAATGAGGGTAATGTCACCTCACCAATAAAAGCATGAACATTAACAGGGTTAATGGCAATTGAATTAGCATTAATATCAACCAGGTTGATCTCTCCAGTAAAGAATCGCCAATCTCTACCGTCTTCTTCCAACTCTTCGAGTTGAACCGAACTTGGAGTTTCATTTTCAGTACCAGGTACTTCAACAGTAGAAGCTTCAACAGACGTTTCCTTGTTCTGTTTCTGTAGCCTTGCTTGATTTTCTTTTATTTTCTCGATATTGATGGGTTTCCTACATCTTCTCACTGAGTGGCCAGTTTCGAGACAATTATAACATGTCAATGTGAATGTTCGTCTTGGTCTGTCTGGTCTGGACTCATTACGAACTTCCGAATTCCTTGTGTTATAACTTGGCCGAGGAGGCGAAGGAAGAACCTTTTCTGATTTCTTTTCTTTCGTTTTAGGTTGTACTGGTATGTAATGATCATTGATTCTGATCAATTTTTCCAAGTTTACCAGTGTATAACCCTTTTGATCAAGCAAAGAGGCTATTGTAGGTCTGATGCTAGGATTTAAACCTCTGAGAATGAAACTAACAGTCTCTTTTTCAGGCATTTTACGATTGTATTCCATACAAAGCGCTAATTTATTGTGGAAATAAGTGCCTATCCCTTCATCGGGTTTCTGGATACGGGAGACAAGACTTTCATATAGAACAAACTTATCTTCATCTTCTAGATAAGTCTCAGAGAATAGTTGTTTGAAAGTGTTCCACGTCTGTTCAGTATTTTCCACCTTAGGTCCGTAAATATACCAAAACCACGTATTTGCTTCACCTTGTAAGCACGATCCAACTCCTCTAATTAGTTCCGCGTCCGTCCAATAATTCAATGCTGCAGCTTGCTCGTATGAACGCAACCAGGTTGCTGCCTTTGAGTGATCACCTTCAAAGATAGGTAGTTTCACCGGCTTAATTAATGGGCGAACCTCAGTGCGGGGACTCTCCTCACTGTAGGAGTTAATCAAACTAAAGGGATTAATAGTTCTATTTGGATTATTAACCCCTGACTGTGTTGTCCTTGTCGTATTAGTCAATGTCTCTTGAAAGCCATCATTCATGGTTCCATTTGTTTGACCAATCTGATTGGTAAGAGTTGAAATAACATTGTCCATGTCAGTTATTTTCTGACCTTGTTCTCCGAACTCGGTTCGTAATCGAATCAGCTCCTCAGAGTTTCTATTCACTGTTTGAATAACAGATTCCATCTTGTTGGCATTAGCTCTGATGCTAGCGTTTAGGGTAGCCAAATTAGCGTTCAATGTCTTGATGAAATCTTTCGATGAATGAGGAATGTCTTTTTCATTAAAGACTACAGTCGTACCTGAACCAGGTTCAGTCGAAGCGGAAGATGCAGGGAGAGCCATAATCCCCCCAACCAAAAATCAAGGAAATAGGAAATAAGGATGCACAGGAAAAACAGGGACAAAAAGAACAAAACGAGAGGAAACAGAAAACCGACGAGGATCTCCACCATATGTTGTGATCACCCTAACTAATCGTTCTAAAATACCACTGGTTGGTCTAACACGACTAACAATTAATTAGATGACACAAATTAAGTAACAAAATTAGATTTTACTTTGACAAGATTATCACAATTAAAGGTGAACTTAAAGTTAAATTGAACAAGGAAAGAGTTTCCTTTTATACAAATAGAAATCACAGAGGTGGAAGGGTAAGCGAGAGAAGAGGGGAAAACAGTGAGGAAAAGGAAAAGACAGGAACCCGGTTCCTGGAGGCGCTAACTTTAAACCAATTATTATGGAAGGTTCAAAGGCTTATAACAGTTGAGAGACAATAAGACTGTGTTTTAATTATTTGGTTGATTAATACATTGATTAGGTTTACAGCGTTCGAGCAATTCAGTTTTCATTTACAATGAACTTAACGCTTGAATAGCAGGACATTTAGGAGCTCAATAAGTTGTAATATTAATACCAACACTAACAATAAAATGTATCCATAAAATATTTCACAAAATGTATTGTAGTTTAAAGATTTCCAGTTAACTTCGATTGAATTTTGTGGAATTTCCGCTTTGTGAAAGTCGAATAAACTTGCAGGATAAAAGCTTAGAATAGATTCAATGTAGACATCAGCTTCTATTTTCTTGGCGATTGTGGCTTGAGCTAATCTTTGACATCTGAAGCAAATAAGGCAATGAGTTAGCTTTTGAAAGTATCATTTGACATTGCATGACAAGCCATTGTATGCCCTCAATAATTTTTACTTACATAAGATGAATCCTTCTCTTTATTGACTCGGGAGTTTCAAAGCTCAAGAGCAAAGCTTGTACAGACCTGTGAAAGGGTCGCTCTGAAAAGTGATGGACCTGGTTAGGCTCGTGTATTTCATCCGAACCTAGACGAGCCATCTTCACACCTAGAGTAGAGATGAAAGTTACCATTCTGTCTGCAGGTCTGAAAACAGGAATAAGTCCAAGTTTGTATGGTTTATCATATCCTTTGGATTTTGATTGTTCGTAAATATCACCATAATCCTTAGTTACTTTAGCTTTGAACAAGTCGAACATAGAAATACCCTCGAAAAAGAACGGTATCTTGTTATATGTAATGACATCTCTCAATGTATCAATTTTAACGTCATTAGTTCCGACAATAGTTTGAGTGTTGAATGAAGCATTGAAAATGTAAACAGGAAACATTATGATAATCATAAGAATGAGGCAAAACCATGTTGAATGTCGAGATAACTTCTGATAAAATGAAGTACCAAAGGATTGATAGATAGCTTTGACAATCGATTCAATGTTGAAGTGTTTGATAACAGCCAATTCCAATAGCAGAACTATTAAAATAGCTAATAGTATGGGAATCGTGTTTACTGAAATAAAACTATCAATGAAAGCTGAAGTACCGCCACCCATATTACGTATTGAACTGATGTAATAGCTTTCTTCTGATATAACGGGTGTGAATTGACCTGGTACTTTTACAGTGTCAAGTGCCAATGGTATGAAACACAACTCCGCTTTCTATCGCCAGAAGATGCAGTTAGACAAAACATATTAATAAATATTTAAAATTAAATTTTTAAGGTTCATTAAAAGGTTTAACGTATTTGACAATGACTAGTGTTATCCATGCAGATATAAATTATAACTAGTAATAATTGATGAAATATTTGAATAAACTTACCCCTTCTTGCATCAAACCCAAAACACCATCATGATAACCAGTCTCTGTAACAACACCTAATTGACCAGATTCTGGTAAATGAAATTTCAAACTAAAGAACAATTAATGTGATTTGATTGTTCAAAGTAAAAATATCATACTTAAATCCACCATAATCAGTTATGATTGCTGCAAGTCGTTTGAGCGACTTCAATTCAGGAATAATTTCGCCATCTTCTTCGACAAATACTTGAGCTAACGGTATCTGCAATATAAAAATATATGTTAAGCACAGGATTCACAGATGAATTTCAATTCTCACCGAAAAAGCACCAACAGTTAAATTTCTTTTCTCCATTTTGAACTTCATTCAGTAAAATTATTAATTCAGTAATATACAGTATCATTGAAAAAATAACCCTATCCTGATGGCGTGTACAGAATTTTATTTCTAGAATCTTTCTTTTAAAGAGTCTCGAAAAAATAACATACAACCAGATTTCCGTCTCCATGTTCCACCCTGGATTAATTGAAGTTTTAATTAAAAGATACATTTTAATAATTTAATTGCCAAAGATCAATAATTTAATATTCACTTTCACTTTAATAAACAACACAATCGAAATCTGCTTTTCATGGCTGAAAGTAGATCTAAATTTTCATTTAAATCTTCTTACAATTCAGACTACTTCAAACTGAATTTCCAATTCTTATTGATTCAGACTAGTCCATCGAATATGCGAAATATCAAAAAATGTCCTTTGCATTCAATTCAATTCGATCTAATATGCAGTTGTGATAGAAATTATGGTTTAAAAATTGATTTATCACCATTATTATTTAAGAGTTCAATACGAAAGTAAATTAACAAAATGATCTAAAAAACAAATTTTCATGAGACATTTTCTGTGCACAGAATTTACTGATAAAATATCAAAAGCGCAAATACCTTGTCCTCGAAAAAGCTATTGAATCCTCTTTCTGAACGACTTTCAATGAATTATTTTCAATCCCTTTACCATTCTCGAGAATCACATCTGCAGATAAACTTGCAGCTTCAAAATCATCGTATTCTTCTGATTTAGGACTTTCAAGTATAACTTCAAGTTCTGGTACTTGACGTTCAACCTCTTGATCAAACTGAGACAGGACTAAAACGATCTCTGTTGGTACCGCATCGTTAGAAACTGAGCATACAAGATAGTATCTCGACAAGTTGAACAATCAATATCAAGACTAACAATGAAATGTATCCATAAAATATTTCACAAAATGTATTGTAATTTAGAGATTTCCAGTTAACTTCCAGTGAATTTCGTGAAATTTGCAAATTGTAAAAGTCGAATAAACTTGCTGGATAAAAGCTTAAGATAAATTCAACGTAGATATCAGCTTCTACCTTTTCCGAGATTTTGGCTTGAGCTAACCGTTGAGTTCTGTAGCAAGAAAAACAATAAGTTAGCTTCCGAGACAACATTTTGACATTGTCATGCTATTAAGCGAAATTGTATGCTTACAAAAGATAAATCCTTCTCTTTTTTGACTCAGGAGTTTTAAAACTCAACAGACAAGCTTTTACAGACCTGTGAAAGGTCGCTCTGAAAAGTAATGAACCTGGTTAGGTTCATGTAATATTTCATCAGCACCTAGAGTAGAGATGAGAGTTACCATTCTGTCTGCAGGTCTGAAAACAGGACCAAGTTCGTATGGTTTATCAAATCCGTTTTGAACGCTCGTAAATATCAGCATAATCCTTAGTGACTTTAGCCTTGAACCAATAGTACATAGAAATACCTTCTATAAAGAACGGTATCTTGGCATCTCGCAATGTTTCAACTTAACGTCATTATTACCGAAAATAGTTTGAGTGCTTAATGAAGCATTGAAAATGAAAATTGGAAACATTAGGATAATCATTAGAATGAGACAGAACCAAGTTGAATGTGGAGATAAATTCTGGTAAAATGAAGTACCAAAGGATAGCATTAACAAGCGATTCAATGCTGAAGCGTTTGATAACAACCAATTTCAGTATTAAAACTATGAAAATAGCAATCAATATGGGAATTGTGTTGACTGACGCAAAACTATTAATGAAGTACCACCACCCAAATTGTGTATTGAATGTATGTAATAGCTTTCATCTGAGATAACGGATGTAAATTGACCTGGTACTTTCCGAGTGTCCGAGTGCGATGGGTAAGAAACATAATTCCACTTTCTATCAACGAAAACATTTTTCAAAACGTAAATAGTTATGCCTATTAAAAGATTTGATAGCATATACTATCAACTTAACAACGACAAGAGTATACCAGAAATATATAAATTATAATAAACTTACCCCTTCTTGTATCAAATCCAAAACACCATTACGATAACCAGTCTCTGTTGACACACCTAATTGACCAGATTCTGGTAAATGAAGTTTTAAACTAAAAGTCAATTAATTTGACTTGGATTGTTTAAGGTGAAATATCATACTTAAAAGGTCCATAATCAGTTATGATTGCTGCAAGTCGTTTAAGCGACTTCAATTCAGGAACAGTCTGGCCATCCTCTTCAACAAATCCTTGCCCAAAGATCTACAATATAAAAGTATCCGTCAAGCACAGAACTCACAGATCGATTTCTAAACTCACCGAAAAAGCACCGATAGTTAAATTGCACTTCGCCCTCATGAACATGACATGATGAAATTATTACGTAAAATGATACTGAATTGAAAAAATCTATAAGCTGTACTATCCTAATGGCGTGATCAGAATATCAACTTCGAGACCTTTTCTGTTACAGAGTTTTGAAAGACATAACATTCATTAAGATTTCCGCTTTCATTTTTTACCCTTTTTCTTACTACTAGGTTGACGTTTATTATGCTGAGTAAAAATGAAGTTAAAAACAAAAGATACATTTCAATCATGTAATTACCAACGATCAATAATTTAATATTTACTTTCACTTTGATAAACAACTGAAATAACGATTAAAAATCTGCTTCTCATGAGTCATGACTGAAAGTAGAGAGAAATTAATAGATGAAACAATTTAGTTCATATTAGAAGCTTTAACCTGACACTTAAACCTTTATAACAATTTTTTTATGTAAAAACAAGATGATTGTGGGTGCTATCATTTTCGAGATACTGAGGCTCAAAGTTCTAAGGCCAATGGCCAAAATCAAGAGAACTGTTGGTACTTTATTAAGTATATTGAAAAATACATTCGATCCATTAGATCTACCAACACTTTTTATTGAATAATAATAAGTTTTAGTTCTCTAGCTAATAAAGTCACAGAAATCAATCGGTTTACTTAAAATCGAACTTATTTGTTTTAGTTTGGACAGAAAATTTTATTTCTCAAAATAAGTACATTTTCTGGTTGGCCGTCAGAAGTTACACCAGAGAAATGAGTTTCATGAAAAAATTCCCACGATGTTCAATTTAAAGTAGTATGCGAATTAACATTTGAATGTTGATTTGATTTCCCGTTAACAAGAGTATTTCAAATCAATAGTTGAAAATGCAGTCAGCTTTATTTACTGTTTAAATTACTCTTGCAATCTCATCGAAAGTTATACAAGTTAAGTCCATTTTTGTACAAAAAGCGATCCAAGTTTTAACTTTTATTTAGTTTTAACTGAACTCGATTTGTTGAAGTCTTTTATAACAGCCAAAATGGTGCAAAAGTGTCTAGTCTAAGAGGAGATCCTCTAGAGGATGACTAAAAAACCGTTGGGTTGCAAACTTTTTGAAACTTACTTATTTAGTAAAATTATATCATTGAAAATATAACCCTATCCTAATGGTTCGATCCCACAGAATATTAACTTCTAGAACTTTTTTCTCCAGAGTCTCGAAAAAATAACATGCATTAAGATTTCCGCTTTCATTTGTCACCATGCATGTTGACGTTTATTCTGTTGAGTTGAAATGAAGTTATAAACAAAAGAAACGTTCAATCATTTAATTGCCAAGGATCAATAATTTACTATTTACTTTCACTTTGATAACAGAACAATTAAAAATCTACTTTTCATGCCTAAAAGTGAAGAAGAAGTTAATGAATGTAACAATTTAGTTTATAACAAAAGTGTGAACATCACGTTTAAATTTTGATACAATTTGAAATAAAGCTGTTCAAACTAATTCTGAATTTTATACTTATTTATTCCCAAGAGTCCAGCAAATATGCAAAATATCAAAAAAAACTGCGAGAATATCCAAGGCGAATAATAATAAAATGATAATAATAAAGATGTTCTGCATAATGTTTTTTTACATTAAATTAAAATCAATTCAATCTAAACTAATCATTAAAACATTTTATGATTTTCATACGAAAATATAATACATTTGCTGGGATTTGTTTTCATTCTTTTCCAGAAATAAACTGGAAATTCCTGGATGATGAATTAGTAGCACTTGATTAGGTTTACAGCTTCAGAACAATTTAGGTTGTATTATGTATGCTTTGACGCTTGAATAGCAGGACACTTATTAGCTCAATAATTTGAACAATTAATACCAAGACTAACAATGAAATGTATCCATAAAATAACTCACAAAATGCATTGTAATTTAGAGATTTCCAGTTTACTTCGAGTGAGTTTCGTGGAATTTCCGATTTGTGAAAGTCAAATAAACTTGCTGGATGAAAGCTAAGTATAGATTCGATGTAGATATCTGCTTCTATTTTTGTGGCGAGTCCGGCCTGAGCGACCCTTTGAGTTCTGAAGCAAATAAAAAATGGATTAGCTTTTGGAAATATCATTTTTACATTGCTAACGAAATTGTGTGTCTACAAAAATTAAGTTTTACTTACATAAGATGAATCCTTTTCTTTATCAACTCGGGAGTTTCAAAGCTCAAGAGCAAAGCTTGTACAGACCTATGAAAGGGTCGCTCTGAAAAGTAATGAACCTGGTTAGGTTCATGTAATATTTCATCAGCACCTAGACGTGCTATCTTCACACCTAGACTAGAGAGGAAAGTAACCATTCTATCTACAGGTCTGAAAACAGGAATAGGTCCAAGTTCATATGGTTTATCTAATCCATTGGATTTCGAACGTTCGTAAATATCACCATAGTCCTTAGTTACTTTCGCTTTGAACCAATCGTACATGGAAATGCCCTCTACAAAAAACGGAATCTTGTCATAGGTGATGACATCTCGTAATGTTTCAACTTTAACATCATTCGTCCCGACAATAGTTTGAGTGTTGAATGAAGCATCGAAAATGTAAACAGGAAACATTATGATAATCATTAGAACGAGACAGAACCAAGTTGAATGTCGAGATAAATTCTGATAAAATGAAGTACCAAAGGATTGATAGATAGCATTGGTAATGGATGCAATGTTGAAGCGTTTGATAACAGTCAATTCCAATAGAAAAACTATTAAAATAGCTAATAGTATGGGAATTGTGTTGACTGACGCTAAACTAGAAACAACAGCTGAAGCACCTCCACCCACCTTACGTATTGAACTGATATAATAGCTTTCTTCTGATATAACGGGTGTAAATTGACCTGGTACTTTTACAGTGTCCAGTGTCAATGGTAAGAAACACAATTCCACTTTCTATATCCAGAAGATTTAGTTAGACAAAACGTATTACTAAATATTTAAAATTAAATTTTTAAGGTTCATTAAAAGGCTTAAAGTATTTGACAATGACTAGTGTTATCCATGCAGATATAAATTATAACTAATAATAATTGATGAAATATTTGAATAAACTTACCCCTTCTTGCATCATACCCAAGACACCATCATGATAGCCAGACTCTGTAACAACACCTAATTGACCAGATTCTGGTAAAAGAAATTTTAAACTAAAGAACAATTAATGTGATTTGATTGTTCAAAGTAAAAATATCATACTTAAATGGGCCATAATTAGTTATGGTTATAGTTGCTGCAAGTCGTTTGAGCGACTTCAATTCAGGAATAATTTCGCCATCTTCTTCGACAAATACTTCAGCTAACGATATCTACAATATAAAAATATATGTTAAGCACAGGATCACAGATTAATTTCAATTCTCACCGAAAAAGCACCAACAGTTAAATTTCTTTTCTCCATTTTGAACATTATTCAGTAAAACTATACAGTATCATTGAAAAATTAATTCTATCCTAATGGCGTGTACAGAATATTAATGTCTAGAATCCTGTTTCTACAGAGTTTCGAAAGACAAAACATTCATTAAGATTTCCGCTTTCATTTTTCACCACATAGGTTGACGTTTAGTCTGTTTAGTTGAAATGCAGTTATAAACAAAAGAAACATTTCAATCATTTAATTACCAACGATCAATAATTTAATATTTACTTTCACTTTAATAAACAGTACAAACAAAATCTGCTTTCCATGACTGAAAGTAGAGACGAAATAGATAATTAAAACAATTTAGTTTATCACGTTTAAACCTTCTTACAATTTAGACTAATTCAAACTGAATTTCCAATTCTTATTGATTCAGACCAGTCTATCGAATATGCAAAAATATCAAGAAAATGTCTTTTGCATTCATTGTTAGAATCCATTCGTTTTGATTAAATTTCGTCGAAGATTTTGAGACATGTGAAAGTGATGAACTTTGAGCTGGTAAAAAAGAATGAGATGGTTGAACAGATTGTGGAAGCTGATGTGAATGAGCGAATTGCGAAGGTGCATAAGAGAAGGAAGATTGATTGGATTGGTTAAAAAATGGTGATCCCGGCTTCTTTGGTAAACGCACAGTCGGTCCTATTGGTAATAAACGCTCTGTAGCTGGTTTCAAGGGAAGTATTGGGACTCCGGGAGGTTCATCCAACAGTTTCCATGCTTCGGGGGATTTTTTATTGGCTTTTTGCTCTGAATTTGCTTGAGCTTGATCGGACGGTTTAGATTCTTCGGTAAAAGTTTTTAAAATTTTACCGATACCCTGCTTAGTTCGACGCTTTTCTTCACTCGTAACCTTCTCTGTAATTGAAAATGGATGACGAGGATCTGCGTCAATTGTGATTTCAAGCTCTTTCGATTCACTAGTCTCACTATCATAAGTTGAGTCAGTTCGCTTCAGTCTGCTAGACCCTTCAGCTGAGTAACCTCTACTTAGTTTATCAGTCTTGGGTGAAAGAGGTCGTGATCTGGATTGGTTTGTAGGAACACTGTCTTCGTCCTCCATTTCTTGCTTTCCAACAGGCAATACAACAAACATACAACCATACCATTACCACCAAACTACCATGTTAATGAGTTTGTTGTTGTTCTGAATCGTTAACAATATTATCTGAAGGATTAACTGCTAAGTCAAGATCTGGTAGAGTCGTTGACTCTTCAGCAAACTTTTTTATCAACCTGTTTGGCCAAAAAATCGACAGTCTGTGGATTACGTTTAGAGTTGCCAAGTTTGGAATGGGAAGGGAACGAGCAAGATGAGTTTGAGATAGAGCTTCATGAGCTCGAGTCAACTTCTTCTGGTACATTTCCGAGTTAAAATTGGTGTTTTTCAAATCTCGAGTATAACTTATTTCACCGAGTCGTTCGAGGTTTACTTGTGCCTCCAAAAAAAGAGTATAACTTCAAGTTCTGGTTCTCCCTCTCCATCTCCTTCAATGGACTCTTCACTCGATCCTGAAGTGAATATAGGAACTGTACTCTCTTCGGATCGAAAAAGTGGTTCCATTTCTGGTTCTACTTGGTCTTCCATCTCCATGGAAGTGGCACTCATATCTTAATAAAACAAATGTACAAAAATTAATGATAAAACAACTTTAAACAATCATTCCAATGTCAGCTTACCTCTTGATCGAAATGGAACGGGACTAAATGATCTCTGATCTCGAGCGTTTACCCTTTAAGAATGAAGAGTGTGAATTTTGAGTATCAAAATACGAAAGATATAATTATTAAGCAAATTTGATATGCAATTGAAAGCTGGTTGCATTTAGTTAAAATCTCATAGTTAATTTTGCTAGTGATAAGGTATGACTGGTAAAGTTTGACAGTAATTTTTACAATCTTTCATGGCGGCTCAACGTCTCGACAGATTTGCACAAAATCAGACTTAATTTAACGGAAATTTTCTTGGCTTTCATTTGATATGCGTTTTAATTAGTTTTAACTCTCTATTTGTCCAGTATGGGTCTTAGTGATAGTGATAGTCCTAAATTAATATTTTTTTTGTCAGCGACCGCCCAGGGTAAAGTTTATACGAATGATTAGAGCAATCGCAGCATAGTGATACCAACTCGAAGTCAGTCTACAGGGTTGGTGTGAGGGTCGGAAATCAAAAAACTGTAATAACTTCAATAAATGTGGCCGTGAACCGACGTAGATGACGCAACAGAGTTTTGAGCGTTTTAACGACTAAAAGAAGGACTAAACGGCTATCAACGATAATTGGCGGTCGCTGACAGCAAAATTCGACATTTCCTTGGCCTATTGACAGAAATAATTAAAAAAATCTGGTATTAAGGCCTGGAAAAAAATTCGAACACCCAAATCATGTACGCTTTACTGTCAAACTTTACCAGTCATACCTTAATCCCAAAATATAATAAGTTTGTATGAACGCAGTAAGCAACTGAAGGCTTATTAAATCAAATTAGGTGCAGTCTATTGAATTAATAGAAAATTTGGGAATAAAGAAACCGACCAAAATGACGCCGCGCGAATTTGCCCGTTTCAAAAAATTGCTGAAGGTTAGAATGGTTCACAAGAGAACTGACCTCAAAATTCGACATTTCCCTCATCTATTGACACGAATTATTAAAAAAATAAAAGTCTGGAAAAGGACTGATGCGCCCAAATCAACCCTAAACTAAATTTATTTATTTCCATGTTTTACCAGTCATACCTTATTTATTAGTTAAAATTTTGAGAGTTGTATAAACAGACGGCCCTCGAATAGCTAATGAGAATTCAGTTCGATTTTATTACTAATATAATAATATTTATCGTATTGTATTAACATTGTTTGATTTTGATAGTTTTGTTCCTAATTTTTTGGTTTGCAGTAAACAGATGATTGATGAAAATAGCACTTTGTTTTATTAATAATATTTTATTAATATTATAATTATTATTAATATTATTATTTTTACTAATAATTGTTTGGATTGTAAGGTTGTTTATACAATAATTGCATTGGTTTACAGCTTTCAAACAATTAAGTTTGTATTTCTTATCCTTTGACGCTTGAATAGCAAGACACTTATTAGCTCAATAATTTGAACAATTAATACCAAGACTAACAATGAAATGTATCCATAAAATATCTCACAAAATGCATTGAAATTTAGAGATTTCCAGTTTACTTCGAGTGAGTTTCGTGGAATTTCCGATTTGTAAAAGTCAAATAAGCTTGCTGGATGAAAGCTAAGTATAGATTCGATGTAGATATCTGCTTCTATTTTTGTGGCGAGTCCGGCCTGAGCGACCCTTTGAGTTCTGAAGCAAATAGAAGAATTGATTAGCTTTTGAAAATTATATTTCGACATTGTCATGGTCCGCATTAAATGAAAATGCAATTATTAAAAATGAAAATGTACTTACATAATGTTAACCCTTCTCTTTATTGATTTAGGAGTTTTGAAGCTCAACAGTAAAGCTTGTACAGACTTGTGAAAGGGCCTTTCTGAAAAATAATGAACCTGACTAGGCCCAAGTATTTCAGGAGCAACTAATGGGGCTATCTTTACACCTAAAGTAGAGACGGGAAGAACCATTCTGTCTGCGGGTCTGAAAATAGGAACAGGTCCAAGTTCGAATGGTTTATCTAATCCATTGGATTTTGAACGCTCGTAAATATCACCATAGTCCTTAGTGACTTTAGCTTTGAACCAATCGTACATAGAAATACCTTCTATAAAGAATGAAATCTTGCCATAGGTGATGACATCTCTCAATGTATCAATTTTAACGTCATTAGTCCCGACAATAGTTTGAGTGCTGAATGAAGCATCGAAAATGTAAACAGGAAACATTAGGATAATCATTAGAATGAGGCAAAACCATGCTGAATGTCGAGATAAATTCTGATAAAATGAAGTACCAAAGGATTGATAGATGACATTGACAATGGATTCAATGTTGAAGTGCTTAGTAACAACCAATTCCAATAGCAAAACGATTAAAATAGCTAATATTATGGGAATCGTGTTGACTGACGCTAAACTAGAAACAACAGCTGAAGTACCATCATTCAAATTGCGAATTGAACTGATGTAATAGCTTTCTTCTGATATAACGGGTGTGAATCCACCGGGCGCTTTTACAGTGTCCAGTGCCAATGGTAAGAAACACATTTCCACTTTCTATCATTCAAAAAGATTCAAAACGTAAATATTAATATTTAATTGTTTAATAACATATAATGTCAACTTATTTGATAATGCTAAGAGTTATCCAAGTAGATATCCAATTCTAATATTGACTAAACTTACCTCTTCTTGCATCAAACCCAAAACACCATCATGATAACCAGTCTCTGTAACAATACCTAATTGACCAGTTTCTGGTAAATGAAATTTCAAACTAAAAACCAATAAGATCAGCTTAGATTATTTAAGGTAAAAATAACATACTTAAAAGGACCATAATCAGTTATTATTGCTGCAAGTCGTTTAAGCGACTTCAATTTAGGAACGATTTCGCCATCCTCTTCAACAAAGCCATCAGCATAAGGAACCTACAATATAAAAATGTATGTTAAGCACAGGATTCACAGATTAATTTCAATTCTCACCGAAAAAGCACCAACAGTTAAATTTCTTTTCTCCATTTTGAACATTATTCAGTAAAACTATACAATATCATTGAAAAATTAATTCTATCCTAATGGCGTGTACAGAATATTAATGTCTAGAATCCTGTTTCTACAGAGTTTCGAAAGACAAAACATTCATTAAGATTTCCGCTTTCATTTGTCACCATGCATGTTGACGTTTATTCTGTTGAGTTGAAATGAAGTTATAAACAAAAGAAAAATTTCAATCATTTAATTACCAATGATCAATAATTGTCTGAGCGAAGCGAAGACATATAAGGTGAATTCGCGTTTTTTGTTCAACGATAACTCAAAAATAAAAATTACGATTTTGATGCAATCTTCAGAATATCTTGCTATTGTGATCAAAATTTACTGTATAGTTTTTGGTGAAGATTGGCCCAGTCCCAAAATTCGGGGATATTTTCTATCAATAGAGGGTGCCAAAACAATTGTCACTTTATGCACAAATTGACACAAATGGGTAAAAACGGTTAAAAATTAATTTTTTCAAGTTTAGACTCTGTTAGTTTGTAGGGACATAAAACCTGAGTTCATTTGTGCGATTTAAAAGTCTCTCTGATCCACAGTTTTTGAGAAAATCGAGGTCAAAGTTGAAACTTCGATCGCCTTTGTTCAATTATAAAAGTAATGTAAAAGTAAATGGTGTAACCTTTGATTGTAAACCAGAAAATAATACACTTATTTTGAGTAATTCTACTTCCATAATTTAACAAAGGCGATCGAAGTTTCAACTTTGGCCTCGATTCTATCAATCGGAGAATTTATTTAAAACTCTAATGTACTAAATTTTTATTCTTCTACAAACCTACCAAGACTCAAACTTAACTCGAATGCTCGACTTTTTGCCTGCACTCTTTTTAAATAAGAACTTCTTTCGATAACATCAACACATCAAATTAAAAGTATTTGAAATTGCATATCAAAAGCTCAGACTACACTGTTTGCAGTAAATCTAGTTTACTATTTAAAGGGTGTTAAGTTTAATTTTGCTCAGTTATCTTACCTTGATAATGGAGATGGCAAAGATAAAGATGAAAAGATATTGTTCATCCACTGGTCTTCAGAAAAGTTCATC